AAATGAAAGAATGGTTTAGTGCAGGCATAATAAAATGCAGAGATGTACGTGTGTTTGTGCATGTGTGTGTGTGTGTGTGTGTGTGCGTGTGTGTGTGTGCATGCGCACATGTATATGTGCTGGGAAGTAGTGACAGACAACAAGACAAGCTGGGAAAATACAGTCCTTGTCTCCCAGCTGCTGAGCCTTGGGTTAGGGGGTGCAGGAGACCCCTGGCCAGCTGTACTTGTGTGTCCCTAGATGCATGGGTACACAGATAGCAGACAGCCCTTCCCTCTGCACCCTAGGCTAGTGGTCCTCAACTCTAGCTGCACATTAGAGTCCCCTGGAGAGCTTTAGAAAACAGAACAAGGTCTGGCTGTTCCTGGGTCAACTAGACGGGAAGCCCTGGGGCACAGCTGAGTACCCATAAGCTGTTTAGTCTCCCAGTCCCTCTATGTGCTTCCATGTCACACAATATTTAAAAGTAAAGTAAGAAATGGACAGTTGTGGCCCTGCAATCAGGAGCTAGCCCCCAAGCAGAACTCCTAAATCCATTGAATCACCATCTTCCCACATCCTGCAATTCCTGGCTAGTAAAAGAAGGAGCCAACAGTCATGTTTATGTGTTGGGACATAAGTGATATATGCTCTAGGCTGAGTTGTGTCCCACCAAGATTCACATGTTGGAGTCCTAAGCTCCAGACCTTTGAATGTGACTATCTTTGGAGGTGCAGTCTTTAAAAAGGTGATTAAGTGAAAATGAGGTCATTAGCATGGGCCCTGCTCCAATATGCTTGGTGCCCTTATTAGAAGAGATTAAGACGAGACACACACTCACATGAGGACCATGAGAAGTTCCAACATGCAGACAACCAGCTACAAGCCAAGCAAACACCACATGCTTCTTGCCTTGGCGTCAGCCACTTATGCACTGAATCTTCTAAAAACCAAACCAAAAGAACCTCTTTTCCTTTGAGCGACAGTGTTGGGTATTTTATCTCAGACATCACCCTACCAACACCCTGATCTTGGGCTTCCAGTCTCCACAACCGTGAGAAAGTAAATTCCTGATGTTTATGCCACCCAGACTGTGGTGCTTTATTATGGCTGCCGGAGAAAATGAGTACAATCTGGTACCAAGTACCACCCATTGCTTGCTGGGGGTCCTGATGGCAGAGAGCAGGGCGTCAGCCCAGGGCACTACTTCCCTCATACAATGACCTTTCCTGGAGGCCTCGGGACATAAAAGATCTTACAAGGGTCTCCATTTTCCTTGTTCCCATCCCCTCTCCCTCTGGCTTCTCACACTCTCTGCTATGTGTAAAAACAGGATGAAACCAAATGTGCAAACACAAGGACAGGACTACTTTCCTCAAAGTTGGGAGGGCTCCTTAAAAACTCAAGTGACAACTCAACCAACTATTCTCTTTTTCTTTCTTTCTTCTTCTTCTTCTTCTTTTTTTTTTTTTTTTAATGTATCTAGGACAGGGTCTACAGGGTCTCACTATGTAGATCAGACTCATAGTGATTCTCCTGTTTTCAGCCTCCCAATTACTGGGATTACAGGCACATACAATCACGCCCAGTCTCAAGTAAACTCTCAGCATGCCCCAGGGACAGGGTTGGCACTGCATGCCTGGGATTGAACCCTGGCCACTGTGTTCTGCCTAAGCAGGTACTTTTAGTCTGCTGAGCTATCTGGCTGGCCCTGTTCTCCTTTTCTTCACTCTCACCCTCCCCAGCCCTACTTTGAGCTCAACTTCTTTGAGGAAAGAAAGGAAAGAAATAGCGAAGGAAGAGAAGACCCAGATTGCCTGCATCTGTGAAATAACAGAATGAAACTACCCAGAAGTTTAACAACTATTGAGTAACCATCACAAACTAAGCCCAGAAACCCACCGAAGCCTGGTCTTTAAGGCAAGGCAAATGTAGAGAATCCATTCTTTCTTATAGCAGGGACCCCAAGAGGTAACCTACCCTCCTCTCAGCTCCTTGACTTGGTTTCTAAACAAAGGGGAAAATTGCTTTCTTTAAAAAAAATCTATGATCAGCTTGGACCCTTCAGGCTAAATCCTCAATTTGAAGATGCAATCAAAAGAACAGAAAACTACATCCCAAAGACAGAAATGGATAAAAGCCAACCACATTTGAGGATGGGCTTAAGGATCAGAGGCACTAATTTTGCATGCAGCATTCTTGCCTTCCCTGAGATCCGTTTTTAATGCAGTGATGATAGCCTTCCAGTGGCCGCTGGCAGCATCTCAAAATGTTCAGGGACTAGAGAGAAGAGGGTGTTTGGGGAGCCTGTGTCCCAGGAGGCTTGGAGGTGATTAGCACAAGTCACGAGGGTGGAGGGGGAGGAGGGCTGAGATGCAGCCTCTGGGTTATTAAGAGAAGTGATGCTGGAATCCCCAGGGGGGAAAAATCAATGACCCAAGAAAAGGACACCAGCTGACAGGTTCAGACCAAGGCTTACACAAGAGTTGCAAAAGAGAGAAAGGCATAAGTAACTTTCCCAAAGTGCTCAGCTGGTTTCCTGAGCAGCCCCGTACTGTACAGACTATGGCTGGGACCCCTGACATTTTGACACTTTCTTTTACATGGATACAACATCCTCCCTTCTCCTTTGCTGGGCAAGGGGGTCCCAAGTTCCCACCATCCTCCACTGGTTTTTGATGTTTTCCTTATTTAGAAAACAAGCGAGTGTCTGCATTGTCAGACACACTTTAGCCCTCAGCTATTGTTGTAAGGCTCTGCGGGGGAGGGTCTGCTGTCTCAGTATAAGCTTCTGTTCCATTTCTATACACTCTGCCAAGTTAATAAAAAGAAACTGGACTGCCTGTCCTCAGGAAATCAGGCAGCAAGCTTTGAGGCCACAGGGAATTACATGATCAGGATCTGCTGCTTCAAACAACACATCTAACTGGGCTAAGACTGATATTTTTGGTACTTAGGAATTTCTCTGCAGTTTCATCACACAGCTTGGGGTCCCTAAAGGGTCTTTAAGTTTTAAGACATATGAGCCAGCCTTGGAGGTCTTCATCTTTCTGTCTTGCTGAGGCATTTCTAATATCTCCCCAGCCCCACATTATACAGAATCTGGGTTTGAACTTGAGTGTGACCATGGTTTGAGGTTTGAAAGGACCTTGTGTCTTTTCATGTCCCTAGAAAAGATCCCTGAAACTTTCTCAGGTCCCTGGAGAGCTACTCAGATCCGAGGGGAAACGGAACCTGGCTGTGGATAGACCTGGCAACATCACCCCCTGCTGCTGGCTTCTGGAGTTTGAAACCTTGGAAATAGGGTTCACATGGGAAGCAGAAAGAAAAGGCTTTTATCATTTTTATTTTTTGGAAGAACCTGCGTCAAAGCATCCCTTCCTTAGGGTGTAGCCTCCCAGTTTGATACCTCAAATTCACTCTTACACAATTGCCACACATAGACAAACAACTTTAGACTTGGTAACCTATTAGATTGTTGTGAGTATTGCAACTGCTTCCCTAAAGAAACAAACCGTAAGTGTCTATTATCTGTGAAAACAACCTAATGGTGACACTGAAATTTGCCTGAAGCAGTATTTGTTCAGTGACAATGATGTCACTAGATGTCAGCTTTTCATTCTTGCTTTACAATAGAATGAGACAGTTGGTAGAACTTAGGCTGCTCACTACAGCTTAAAGCAGCACATACCAAGCTTTTCTAACGGCCAAGAAAGTTCTATTACAGAAAGAAAATGGGGGAGGGGAGAGAAAAATAAATAGTGCTTGAAAAACCTGATGCATTTCCCCAGCACATTTACCAGTGCATTTTGATCCTCTGGGGTTTGATTTTAAGGGCCACAGTTTGCTTGCCAAATAGGCATATCTTGGCTCCTTTCGCCAGGCAGGAACACTGCCTTGATATAAAATATTCAGAGCAAAGAACCTCTGACCTAAGGGCTCTCAGCTAACAATGACATTCTCTGTAAGTAAATCAGAAACCCAACTCAGCGGAGGCTTTGCCAGTGTTCCTGGCCAAGTACTAGTCTACTGCACAAATAGGACCACAGTGACGCCTTACACCTTGAGTCTGCTGCAACAGACCCTGCACCAGGGTCTCTGCAAGGCCTGGACTTGCCAGAAGATTCCTGGAGACTGCAGGGTGTGGGACTCAGAGCCACTTGCTCAGCTGAGCTCTGGAAAGGTATGAGCCTCCAGTTCTGCCTGATGGAGACCCAGGGTCCTCAGTGGCAAGGAGATGTGTCCCCTTAATCAAGTGTAAGCATATGTTCTTAGAGCCATCAGCAACCACAAACTTTCTTTCACTATTCCAGGCCACACT